AATGGGTTTCCGGTTTTGTCCCATAGGACAATGGCTCCGTATGGTTTGACTTCCTTTATCTTGAAAGGTCCAAGCCATCTTGAAAGTAATTTTTCTGGAAAAATCTTAAGACGAGAATTGAAAAGAAGAACTTTATCGTTAGGAGCAAAAGTTCTATGAATAATGTTCTTATCATGATATGCTTTAGTCTTCTGTTTGTAGATCTTCGAGTTTTCGTAAGCATTGTGTCGGATTTCTTCTAACTCGTGAAGTTGAAGTAGTCTTCTTTCTCCGGATGTTTTCAAGTTCATGTTCATCTCCTTGATAGTCCATTGCGCTTTATACTCAAGTTTTACTGGAAGGTGACATGTTTTTCCGTAAACTAGGTTGAATGGTGTTTTTCCTACGGCGTCTTGAATGCTGTCCGATATACTCAAAATGCATCGTCAAGCTTGGTAGACCAATTCTTGCGATGGACTGCAGTTGTTTTCTGCAAAAACAACTTGATTTCTCTATTCGAGATTTCTACTTGACTGCTAGTTTGGGAATGGTATGTGGAACCAACTTTATGCGTAACTCCATTCTTTCTTAGAAGATTTTCGAAAACCTTGTTGATGAAATGCGATCCTCCGTCGCTTATCACAACTCTAGAAATTCCAAAATGCGGGAAGATTACAGATTTAAACATCTTCATGACGACTTTCGTATCATTGGTGGGACTAGTGACTGCTTCCACCCACTTAGAGACATAGTCTACTGCTACTAAGATGTATTGGTTTCCAAAAGTAGTAGGAAATGGTCCCATAAAATTTATTCCCTTACATCAAAAATTTCGACTTCGAGAATAAAAATTTGAGGCATCTCATTCTTTTTGCTTATGTTTCCCACCCTTTGACATTTATCGCATCGCGATATATAAGCTTGAGTATCTTTGAACAAGGTAGGCCACCAAAAACCTGCTTGTAAGATTTTTGAAGCGGTTTTGAAGGTTGCAAAATGTCCTGCGTGAGACGAGCCATGGCATCCGAATAAAATTCCTTCCATCTCTTCTTCAGCCACACATCTTTGGAATAAACCATCAGCACATCTCTTGTAGAGATAGGGTTCATCCCAAATATAATGTCTTATGTCTCGCAGAAACTGCTTCTTCTTATATCCGAAAAATTATGGTGGTTCTACATCAGCTGCTAGGTAATTCGCTATGTGCCTAAACCATGGTGTGTTAAAAGCATCTGATCCTCGCATGAGTTGCCTTGGTGCTGCCGAATAAGCATTGGTGGGAGTTGTATCTATTGCATAGATGTTTTCTTCTGACAAACTATCATTTAAAGGTATTCTTTCTTCAACTCGAATTCGTGAAAGATGGTCTGCAACTCCATTATCTGCTCTTTTCCGATCTCGAATTTTGATGTGGAATTCTTGTAGTAGGAGGATCCATCTTATCAACCGAGGTTTAGCGTCTTTCTTAGACATCAAATACTTAATTGCAGCATATCAGTATGAACTATAACCTTAGATCCTACAAGATAAGAACGGAATTTCTTAACTGCAAATACGACAGCTAGAAGTTCCTTTTCTGTTGTAGCATAATTGCACTGAGCTTCGTCTAGAGTTCTGCTTGCGTAGTAGTTTACGTGCAATTTCTTATCTTTTCATTGGCCAAGAACTGCTTCGACTGCATAGTCACTTGCATCGCACATGATTTCGAATGGGAATTCCCAATTAGGTGCTTGCACGACTGAAGCGGAGACAAGGGCTTCTTTGATATTATGAAGCGAGGCTAAGCACTCATCAACGAACTCGAAGTTCGTTTCTTTGCAAAGCAAACGCGTAATAGGTCTAGCTATTTGAGAAAAAACTTTTATGAAACGCCTATAGAATCCTGCGTGTCCTAAGAAACTACGAATTCCTTTCACATTTGTTGGGGGTTGTAGGCTTGTCATGACTTTAATTTTTGCTTTGTCAACTTCAATTCTTTTTCCCGAAATCCTGTGCCCAAGCACGATACCGTCTCGTACCATGAAGTGACATTTTTCCCAATTTAATACTAAGTGCTTATCTCCACATCTTTGCTGAACTTTACCAAGGTTGGCTAGGCATTTTTCAAAACAAGATCCATAGACCAAGAAATCGTCCATGAATACTTCCATGAATCTTCGATAAAGTCTGTGAAGATCGACATCATGCAACGCTGGAAGGTAGCAGGTGCATTACAAAATGCAAAAGGCATACGTCGGTAAGCGATGTGCCATATGAACAAGTGAATGTCGTTTTTTCTTGATCCTCCGGTCGAATAGGAATTTGGAAAAATCTGGAGTATCCATCAAGGAAACAATAGTAGGGGTGATTAGCTAACCTTTCTAGCATTTGATCTATGATGTAAAGTGGAAAATGATCTTTCCTAGTTGCCGCATTCAGTTTTCGGTAATCGATACACATACGATGTCCAGTGACTGTTCTTCTAGCGATCATCTCATCTTTAACGACAGTGTGATAACACCTGATTTTGACCATTTTTCATCATTGATTTCGAATGCTGACACCTGATTTTGACAGTGGCATAACACCTGATTTTACTTAGTTTTATGAACTTTTATTATGATTTCCATGTATTTGTAGTTTCAAGGCTCTTTTCAAGAAACTTAGGGAATATGATGGCAAAATGGAAGAAATCCACATTTTTATCTCAGAGTCAGAATGTCAGAAGTTCAGCTTCAAATGAAAACTTTCTCACCGTCCGATCCAGCTCAAATTTGGAGACAATCAAGAGGAGACAACAGCTTTCCATAGCACTTTACATCACAAAGATCCAACAGTGCAATCAAAAGATACATGGAGAACAAGTTGACTTAGTTCACCAGTCCCAGAAGACTCTCACCCGCGGGAAACACATGTTTAATCTGCCCTGGAAGACTCTCACCCCCGGTGGACCTTAGGACAAGCCAAAAGGCCCAACATCAAAGCCCACTTCGCCATTTCTCTTCAGAGAAGTCCTAAATGAGACCTGGAATACCTTAGGACCTATAAATACATTGTTTAGCAGCCATAAACGGGTGTGTGCTCCTGTAATAAGATTATGAGCCACCAAACTTTGTTTTTCTAGGGTTAGACGATGGAGATGGGGATTCTTCCCCAGATCCATTGTTCTTCCTCCTTTTTATCTTAATAACTTTTCTGTTTCATTCTATTTCATTTTTATATGTCTTTTATCATTCATTGCATCATGTAGATTAGTCCTAGAGAGTCAAGTTGTTATATCGATTAGGATTTCTATTGTTCTTAGCCATATTCTGGATCTCATCTCTTCTAATTTATTCGTAAAGCATGACAGTAGATTCATGACCTATTCTCTGAGCCTAGGATCAATCAGAGCCACGAGAGTGTTGTATCAGATCATCCATACCTAGCTTCAGAAGAACATAGTCGCTATAGGAGTCGAGAGCTACCTATAGAGAAGTTGTGAGCAGATGAATTCAATGTCCAATGCATGATCTTAAGTTTAGCATGAGAGCGAGAGTTAATTGCTAGATCTAAGAGATTAGTTGATTAAGGTGACGGCAGTTGGTTAATCATACATGTGTCTATTCTAGTTCAATGCAGATTCCCAGAAACAGATGAAGATAAATCGCCCGGAAGCTAATTGGAATTGCCATCATACATCGATTAGAGTAAACCGGAGAAGTCTAAATCGCCACCTATGAGTTCAAGAGTCTTTAGTTTGAATCGATATGCTTTAGATGTTCTTTTAACAGTTCATCCTGCATTGCATCTCTTGTGAATACTAGATTAGGTTTATTACACTGGTTTCCCTCCTTGTATCAATACAGCTCCTATGCCGATGCCTGATGCATCGCACTCCACTTCAAACGTTTTGTTGAAATCTGGTAACACTAGAACCGGTGCAGTGGTAAGCTTCTCCTTGAGAGTATCAAACGCCTTTTTTGAGCTTCTCCCCAGGTGAAACCAACACTTTTCTTCACCACAGCAGTGAGAGGTGTGGCTATACTACTGAAATCCTTGACAATGCGCTGATAGAAGCTTGCTAACCCATGAAAGCTCCTCACTTGACTGATGTTTGTTGGGGCCGGCCAGTCTTTGATCGCTTTAATCTTCTCCTCATCCACCTGTAAACCCTGCGAGCTCACAACAAAACCTAAGAAAACCAACTTATCAGTGCAGAATGCGCACTTCTTTAAGTTTGCATAAAAGCCTTCTTGTCGAAGAGTCTTAAAACAAGCTCAAGATGTGACACATGATCAGATAAACATTTGCTGTAAACTAAAATATCATCAAAATAAACAACAATAAACTTACTGATGTATGCTCTAGAACTTGGTTCATTAGACGCATAAAGGTACTTGGTGCATTGGTCAGGCCGAAGGGCATCACCATCCACTCATAGAGACCTTGCTTGGTCTTGAAGGCAGTCTTCCATTCATTACCTTCTTTCATCCTCACTTGATGGTATCTACTCTTGAGATCGATCTTTGAGAACAAGGTGGCTCCACTAAGCTCATCAAGCATGTCATCGAGTCTTGGAATTGGGTGTCTATACTTGATGGTGATGTTGTTGATAGCTCGGCAATCTACACACATGCGCCAGGAGCCATCTTTCTTTGGCACCAACAAAACAGGAACGGCACAAGGGCTGAGGCTCTCCCTCACATATCCTTTGTCTAACAGCTCTTTGACTTGCCTCTCCAACTCCTTGGACTCCTCACGGCTCATTTGGTAAGCCGGTTTGTTTGGTAAAGCTGCTCCCGGTATGAAGTCTATTTGGTGTTCGATGCCTCGAATTGGTGGCAATCCTTCAGGCATTTCTTCAGGGAACACATCTTTAAAACTGTCAAGTAAGTCAGTGATCTCCAGTGGTAGTTCAAGTTCACCTAAACCTGCGCTCAAATGCTCCTTAAAGATCATTAGTAGCATTGTGTGTTTAGCAGCAAAAACTTTTCTAACATAGCTAGGCTGAGCAAGAAAATTTGACTTAGAGATACTTTCTTTTTCTTTAAGCATTTGCATTTGTAGTTCATGCACTTGTGATGGTGTATGAGGTGCTAAACTAACTTTTCTTTTGTTATGCATAAGAGTATACATACTTAGTTTCTCTATCAAATTGCCATGGCCTACCTAACAATAAATGACCAGCTTGCATAGGAACTACATCGCATAAAACTTGATCTTGATATTTTCCTATGCTAAATGGAATGGTGACTTGATCAGTAATCTTAAGCTCTACCTTATCATCGAGCCATCTCAGCATATAGGGCCGTGGATGTTTAGTTCTCTCAAGGCCTAGCTTATCAACCATGTGAGCACTTGCAACATTAGTACAAGACCCACCATCAATAATTAGGTTACATACCTTTCCTTTTATAGTGCAACGGCTGTGAAAGATGTTCTCTCTTTGTATGGCCTCGGCTGGTTCCACCATTACACTTAGTACACGTCTAGTGACAAGGAACTCTCCTGTGTCTGGGTAAGCTATGTCACCATACTCATCATCTTGATCTTCTTGAACATCAGCTTCATCATATGACTCATAGTCTCCAGCCTCGGTCATGAGCATCACTCGATTGTTTGGGCATTCACGAGACATGTGACCTCTTCCCCTGCATTTGAAACAAGTAATATCTCTTGCACGCTGAGGGTTATTAGTCTTAACTGCCTCTGGTCTGGTGTCTTTGCTTGTTTCAACTGCCTTGCCTTTGAATCGTGAATCAATTTCCACACCTTTGCCTTTGTCGAGTGGTTTGTTGAAGTTTGAGTTCCAAGTGGTTTGTGGCTTGCTTCTGGTGTTGGTGATCTTCTTCTTGATGTGTTGTTCTGCCTGTATAGACAAATGGAAAAGATCTTTGAAGTTTTGATATACCTGTCTCTCCACTTTGCGGCTGATCCTCTCTTGTAAGCCATCAAGGAATTGCGCCATTAGAGCTTCTTCATCATCATTGAGCTCCAATCGGTTCCTCAAGCGCTCAAACTCCTCATAGTATTCTTCTACGGTCCTGGTTCCCTGTTTAAGAGTTCGAAAACGACGCTGTAAGTCTCGGTAAAAATGAGGAGGGACAAACCTTTGCCTCATTAGGTCTTTCATGTCGACCCATATATCAATAGCTCTCAAGTGGCTTCTCTTTCGGTCTGATACTTCTCTGTCCCACCATGTAAGTGCACCGTCGGTGAGCTGAGCCATTACTAGTGCTACTCTCTTTGGACCAGGGTGATTGTAATAGTCGAAGATGTGATCCATCCTCTTCTCCCAATCTAGATAAGCCTCCAGATCAACTTTTCCAGCAAAGTTTGGTGTGGTCAGCTTGATGTGGTTCTTGTTCTTTCTAGAGTAAGGTGTATACTCTTCATCATCGACATCTCCATAATCATCTTGTGGCACACGTCGCCTTTGCCCGCGGTGTCTTTGACATCTAGGGTTTGGTTCTTCATCTTGGGAAGAATCATCTTCGGTCAAGGCTGCATTGAGAGGCTCGTTGATGTGCACTCCATTGTGCCTTGGGTTAGTTCTGGTGTTCTGAGTGGTGTTGAGTCCGGTTCCTACTCCTCCAAGGTTGAGTGTCGGCTGTAAAGTTACCTGTGGTGCTTGTTCCACACGGCTGAGCCGATCTCCTAAGTCTTGCCTCAAAGCCTTGATCTCATCTCTCATGGAGATGATCAACTGGTGAAGGGGATCTTGTGCATTACTACTTTCTTCTCCCATGGCAGATTAATGAGGTTTGTTTCTTGCAAACAAAGACAAGAGAAAAGGAAATAGCTTAGTTCTGACCAAAAGAAGAAATAGGAAATTTTCAAAATGTTTTTTTTTTTTGGACTTTGAATTAAAAGACAATGATTGACAAGAAATAAGGGAACTATGTCTGTCTCAAAAATTCAAACGTGATTGATCCTAAATATGGAAAATTTTAAATGCATTCAGAGACAATGTAATCTTTCTTCTTCTTTTTCTTTTTAACAAAACGAAAACTACAAATGAGACTAGATGCAATGATAATGGATTTTTTTTTTATATGGTGCAAGGAAGCAAATGATTAAACAGAAATGAAAAGATTTAAATAGATAGATAAAACTTGGGCTGAAGGAACTTTAGCTCTGATACCAAAAATGATACAAGCACCAAGCTGTCAAGGGCTTGTAGTATCTCGGAAGCAAAGCCTGGTCGATGGCCAAGGGGTTGATTCAAGTGAATGAGCAACTCTAGACAATTGAATCGGCTGGTGGAAGTGAAGGATGTGAAATGGATCGAAGTGCACCACACAAGTTGTGAAAGACTTGTGATACAACACAGATTCTCGACTCTAGGAGGTACTAGTCTCAACTAGAGAAAAGAAGAATAAGTTTTACACAGAAAACTCAATGAAATAAAATTCTTGTTTTATTAATATCAAAGGTGAAAAATTAAAAGGCTGTAATGGAACCTTATATAATGGTCGTATCAGCTTAGACTCAAAAAAATAAAAGACTCAAAACAATAGAACTTTTAAAAGTAAAGACTCAAAACAACAGGACTTGTAAATTAAAAATACTAAATTAAAGGACTCTAAAAAAGGAAATAAAAGACTAACTAAATTATCTCTGTATAAGATCAAAGACAAGAGAAACTCATTAGTCAAAAAATTGAAATTTGATTGAACATTTACCTTATTTGGTGGCTGAGACATCTGTGGCTTTGACCGAGTTTAAATCATCCCTCCTTAAGACTCTGATTTTTCAATTATTTTGTACCATTGTAGCCTCCTCCATCTCGAATTTCTCCGAAAAAGATGATAGAAGCTCCCTTGAATCGCCAAAATAGACCCAATGAAAACTTTGAAGGATTTGACAGCTAAAAAGCCTTAACAAAATTCTCAAACAGATCGAACTCACAATTCTAAAATTTGAAAGAGAAACTCTAACCTATCTCAAGAGGTAGAGATTGACTCAAATAGAAGAATTGAAAAACGATAAAAGAAAGCATCTGAATTTCAATATAACAGATCGGAGAAAGAGGAGAAGGTGAAAATCCAAAATCGGAAATCTTTAGATTCATTGCTGGAAAAACCGAAGAAAACTTCAATTAGAATAGAAACTCGCTCCAGTAAGGATTAGCGATATTAATTATTCCTATAACATGAAGAATCGATCGATTCCAGCAGAAAAGAGAACCAAGTCTTTCAAACCAAGTATCTCCATCTCTTTCTAAAAGAAAACTGGTAATCGGAAAGCAAAATCCTAAATCTGGACACTGCCGGAAAGTTATTGTCCAATAAATGGAAAAGAAAAGCCGGATTAAACCGGAAAACATCAAAATAGGAGAAAAAACTCTCTCTCTGAAGGATAGAGATGAGAGAAAAGAGAGAGAAAAAACTCCTCATATTATTATAGAAATATTTATTTTCCATTTTGTTTAGTTACACTGTGTTCCATTTCAGATTTTATATATATAGAAAGGGATATGTCGTCATTAAAAAAAAAAAGGGATTATATTAATTTTAAACAAAAAATTGGTCATAATTTTGTTTCGATTATTTTATGATTCAAATTCTATTTAAAAAAAATGAACTGGCCTCCAAATGTTTTTTATTATAGAAAAAAATACATCAATCTAAACAAGATTTTTAGTTGAATCTCATATATCGCTCCTCTCTTTCAAATTATTTTTTCTGTTCCACGATTTCTCTTGTTCTTTAACTCGTTTGTTTTTAATAGGTAACTAGATATTACTCCGTGCATCCGTATGGAAATTTCTTTTTTAATCAAAATTTATAATGTAGTTTATATTTCCTTTATAGATATATGTTTTTAATAATGACAAAACTTTATATTTGTGTTTAGATATAATTTGATTTTAAATTCTTTTTAGTATTATTATGACCACGATCATAAAAATAAAATTCTAACCCGGTCAGTATATTAATCAAAAAATGACTGTTATTGTAAAAACATAATTCTAACCCGCCTATTCATATTACTATATAATATAAATATTTACTATTTTTAAAATAATTTTTAGCTTAATATCTAGCATGTTTTAATAACCTAACCAACATAAAACAACAATTATTAAAAAAAAAAACCTAACACGCCACATCAAATTACCATATAATATTAATATATATCAGTTTACAATATGTAAAATTTTAGTATGATTAAATATGGTTAACAAATACAATAAGTTATTCATTAATCATATGTATTATTCTGTAAATTTTATTTAAATTTTAAATATTAAATTAAATCAGACCTATAACTAAGGAAGTATACAGAATTTAAATTAATATCTATTTTTCACCACTAAATTTAATTACAAAAAAAAACTTTTGGATTTTTAATCAAATATAACCTTTATTTAAGGAAATTATTAGTTATCTAAATTAATATCTAATTGTTGGAATTAAATTTACATATTGAAAAAATGTGTTTTTTAATAATATTACAATTTATTAGAATAATTTAAAAACTGTTTCCAAAAAAAATTAGGAGTGTTTGGAGGCAAGCAGTAAAAGTGTTTCTGTTTTAATATAATAGATCTATTTTTCAGAATTAAATTTAATTACAAAAAAAAAATTTGAATTTTAAATTAAATATAATCTATATTTAAGGAAATCTTTGACTATCTAAATTAATATCTTAATTTTTAGAATTAATATATATATATATATATATATATATATATAAGAAACTGTATTTTCAAATGATATTGCAATAAATTGGGATAATTTTAAAGATATTAATTTAGATAATTTTAAAATGTTTCCAACCAATTTTTTTTAAAAAAAATTGGGAGTGTTTGGAAGCAAGAAATAAAAGTGCTTCTGTTTTAATATAATAGATTATTGAATTGAGTGGTGTCTTAAACATTCTTATTAGAAAATTAAGGTGTTGATCGGTTCACCCGCTGTCACCCGCAATGCTACGTTTGCGGTTGGTAACGGTTAGTAGTATTTAATAATAATCATAAAAATGCTTCAATCCGCTTTGTATCGTTGAAATCCAAAAAATGCTTCCCGCAAGCATTTGCGGTTGCGGGTGGTAGTGAGTGGGTAAACAAAACTTATTTAAGGAAAAATAAAACATGTTAAAAAAAATATATGAAACTCTAAACATACTGTATTGTCTTCTATATATAGTAAAGACAAATCCTACCATTTTTTCTATTAAGTTGTAGTTTTTGTATCTTAATCATGGCTTCCATACAAGTTGAAGAAAGTAAAGACACAAACGTAAGTACCATAATATTTTGGAGATATTGAATCTATTGAAATATCACATCATGCATAGGACAAATCCTAAAAATCTATGTATTGGAGCAAATTATTTCTAGTTTGTTCCATTACTTGACACAATTTTGGGTGATGTTCCCAACAATTGAAATAAAACATGTCATTATAAAATTTATTAGTCTTTTGTATATTTATCCAGTATTTATTTATGATTTTTTTATTAATTATTTTGAACTAGAGTGACTTTGATATTTAGCATAATAATATAGTTTTTTAATGTTTTTTTTAATTGTATATTACGTTTATTTTGGTAATTTAATGTTAAACCGTTAATACATCTCTTGGTTAACCAGTCAAAAATGTTCTGCAAATGGACCCATTTTTAACAGTTAAATCGTCGTTCAAACCACTAAATAACGCTTGAAACTGCAATTGTCTGTTTCCGTAAACTCTCACACTCGTAACCGCAATAGCTGCGTTTAAACTTGACCCTAAATTGAGGTAGAGATTAGATGAAACTTTTAGGATCATGTAATCGACATTTTTTTTTTTGTAAAAGATGTAATCGATATGTTTGTCTCCAAATCAAAACATATTCCCTCAGAATTTCAGGAAATTTTCCTTATTAAGCTTTGTATTTTATTAAGATTTTCTAAAATGGAATAATTATAAGTTGTGGTTAGAGTAGTCCAACTTTAAGAAAGATGATGAACAATTTTTTAGTTATTGAAAAGGTTTGGTATCAAAGGATAAGCACTTTTCTAGGATATTATGTTCTGTCCCGCTAAATCACATGCCAAATTTTTAAAGAAGAAAAATCAATTTTTTTGGTGAAAAGGAAAAAAAACAAATTTTCTTTTCACTCTAAAAATGAAACAAGCGAAAATTAAGTTTACAGTTTCCTTCCCTTTCGCATTATCCTTCAACATCTTTGGAGTCAATTTGAAGGCGATAGAGAATCTCTGATGATCGTGATGGACGTAGATGAAGAAGTCACAGGAGATGTAGAGAACATTGAAGAACTCGTCACTGTAGAAGAATCGATCGATGGTGAACATGCGGTGGAGATTGACGAGGAAGAAGAACGGATTGGTGATGTGAAAGATGATTTGGTGAGGGAGATCATAACCATAGTTGAGTTTTTGGATCAGATTAACGACTATAGACGAACACAACAAAAAGAATGTTTCAACCTCGTTAGAAGATTGAAAATTCTTGTTCCATTTATGGATGAGATTCGAGGTTTTGAATATCCTTCGCCAGAAAGTTGCATGCACTTTCTCTATCGTTTGAGGAAAGTGATTCTAGTTGCTAGAAAATTGTTGGAAACTTGCAACAATGGCAGCAAAATATATTTGGTAAATTCAATTATTTTTGTTTTTTATGAAAATTTTTTTGGATATCCCCTGTGAATGTTTTAATTGTTTCTAGTTATGATGCAGGCATTGGATAGCGAATCGATAATGACAAGATTTCATTCAATTTATGAAAAGCTGAATCGTGTTCTAGTTAAAACTCCTTTTGATGAGTTGAGGATTTCTGATGAAGTAAAAGATGAGGTAAATTCTTCTTCTGTGGCCATAATCCAGACTAATTCCCGACTCCCGAGACATGTAATGAGACTGCTATGATTGCCGTTTAAGGCATCTATATTGACCAAGAGGAAAATAAAATGGATTTTGTTGATAGTGGAACTTGATCACTGACCTTGAAACACATGATGAATTCTCTATTTACTTGACAAACCATTGTACCACACGCTCTTGATTAATGTATTGTAGTTTCTAAAATAAGCTCTCTTTTTATTAATTTTGTAGATTGATTCATTATGTAAGCAATTAAAAAGAGCAAAGAGAAGGACAGACACACAAGACATAGAGCTCGCAGTAGACATGATGGTGGTCTTCTCAAAAACTGATCCTCGAAATTCGGATAGCGCTATTATAGAAAGGCTTGCAAAAAAACTTGAGCTACAAACAATGGAGGATTTAAAGACAGAAGCCATAGCCATAAAAAAACTAATCCAAGAAAAAGGTGGGTTAAGCATAGAGACTAAACAACATATCATTGAGCTGCTTTACAAGTTCAAGAAGCTTCAAGGTGTTGAAGCTACCGACATTCTCTACGAACCAGTTATCAATAAATCATTCACCAAGTCCACATCTCTAATACTACCTCACGAGTTTTTGTGTCCAATCACATTGGAAATAATGCTAGACCCGGTTATCATCGCTACAGGACAGGTAGTATTTATTAAAGTGATTCTTGGTTGGTTCAAAATGTATTAAAGTAACTAACATAACAATATGTTGTTATACAGACATATGAAAAGGATAGTATACAGAAGTGGTTTGATGCGGGGCATAAGACTTGTCCAAAAACCAGACAGACGTTAGATCATCTCTCTCTTGCGCCAAATTATGCCTTGAAGAACTTAATTTTGCAGTGGTGTGAGAAGAACAAGTTCAAGCTTCCAGGAAAAGAAATATCTTCACATTCGGAATATGACTTGGAAAAACAGAAAGATGAGGTACCTTTGCTGGTGGAAGCATTATCGTCAAGCCAATTGGAAGAACAAAGAAAATCTGTGAAGCAGATGCGTTTGCTTGCTAGAGAAAATCCAGAGAACCGAGTTTTAATAGCTAATGCAGGAGGTATCCCTTTATTAGTTCAACTCCTTTCTTACCCTGATTCGGGGATCCAAGAGAATGCGGTTACAACTTTGTTGAATCTATCTATTGATGAGGTCAACAAGAAACTCATCTCAAATGAAGGAGCCATTCCAAGTATTATTGAAATTCTTCAAAACGGAAACAGAGAGGCAAGAGAAAACTCTGCTGCAGCATTGTTTAGTTTATCGATGCTTGACGAGAACAAAGTAACAATCGGATTATCAAATGGGATCCCACCATTGGTCGAATTACTACAAAATGGGACATTAAGAGGGAAGAAAGATGCTCTCACTGCACTCTTTAACTTATCCCTTAATTCAGCTAATAAAGGGAGAGCCATTGATGCTGGTATCGTTCAACCGTTGCTACAACTTTTGAAAGACAGAAACTTAGGAATGATCGATGAAGCACTTTCGATTCTGTTGCTTCTTGCATCACACCCTGAGGGACGTCAAACCATTGGACAACTGTCGTTCATTGAAACTCTAGTGGAATTCATCAGAGAAGGCACACCAAAGAATAAAGAGTGTGCAACCTCGGTGCTACTTGAACTAGGCTCTAACAACTCATCTTTTATTCTGGCTGCACTTCAGTTTGGAGTCTATGAACATCTTGTAGAAATAGCCAGCTCAGGAACAAACAGAGCTCAAAGGAAAGCAAATGCACTTATACAACTCATAAGCAAATCCGAACAAATTTAGAGACGTTCTGAACATTTTCATCTTGTACTCTAATTTAAGTTTCTTCCCTTTTTCCTTTCGCTTAGGTTTCATAATTTTTCTTTTATTTTCCTATTTGATTATGTATTAATCCTTTGTTGTATACTTGTACATGCTCTTTTAGTCATATACTTTCATTTCTTTTTCGTGTTCAATATTATTCTCAGTGCACGTTCTAATTCTTATGTAAAGGAAGTACAATAACTCCACAACATTTCCCAGTTAAAACTAAACTTATCTCGCTGAAGTTAGGATTTAAGCTTGTCTGATGTAGCTATGTATTCGGTTTGATTTGAATTTTCAGAAATAGAGAGTCAGAGAAAACAGAAAGAGAAGATAGAGTAAGGAGCACACGCAAGAATTATCGAGTTCAGCTTAACCAGTCCGATTAAGGCACATCTTGCCAGAAATCTATTCTGGGAATCCACTAGAATACATGTTCTTGAGGTATACAAAGATCTTGTACTTACACTCAACTCTCTCTCACGCCTTAAGTCAACTACAACAACAATCTAACTCTTTCCTATATGCATTATGCTTTCATTGGAAACATTTTGAACCATAGCTCGCAATCAGTCCAAAATCTGAACCATTTTGTTGTCTCATCATGTCAAAAGAGCGCTTGCAAATCCCATTTGTCGCTAAGTCATCTAGCCTGATGCAGAAATCAACCCGAGCCAAGTACCAATGGTCCAAGAAGGACCCATGAGAGGCTCAAATGCCAAGCAGCTCAAAAAGAGGTTCAACCTATTTGTTCAAGCCTTTATCCGATATTTGGAGCCGGAAAAAATTCCCTTACCGGAGCCAGATCAAGAGATTGATAGAATAGGAAACTCAATAATAGAATTATTATACTGTATATTATGTATTTACTCTGATTGATCTTGATTGATTCATTTGTAACACTATATATTGATAATGAAAGACACAGAGAAGGGCACGGTTTGTGCTTCTTACCAATTAACATGGTATCAGAGCTTTGCCTCTAACCTAAATCTTTCTCCTATAGCCGCCGCTCTCTATTTTCTCGATCTTCTTCCATTGTTTCTCCTTAATCTTTCTCTACTTGTTGCTCTTCTCTATCTCTGATCTACCTCTATTCTCCTCTTTCTCTGCATTCTCTCTGCAACCTTTCTGCAATTTCTCTGCAACTTCTCTGCAATTCTTCATCGACATTAGACGAACCATCAATGGCGGCCGCTGCAACACCCACCACTGCAACACCAACCGTTGCAACACCAACCGCTGCAAGTCTCACTCAGATCCGTGCTCACATACCAATCATTCTTGACATGAACAAGATGAACTACGATTCATGGCGCATCCTTTTGGAAACTCACTGTTTGAGTTTCTCTCTCACAGGCCATATCGATGGATCTGCTGTTCCCACCGGACCGACCGACACCACATGGAAGCAACTCGATAACACAGTTAAGATGTGGATATATGGTACCATCTCTGAATCGCTTCTCACCTCTGTTTTGAAAACACAGTGCTTTGCCCATGAACTCTGGCTGATGCTGGAGAATTTATTTCGCGACAACAAAGAGGCTCGTGCAATCACCCTGGAAAATGAACTCCGCACTCTCACAATTGGTGATCTTTCGGTTCACGACTATTGTCAAAAGCTGAAATCAATTTCAGACACGCTAGCCAATGTTGATTCTCCAATTTCAGATTGGGCCTTAGTCATGCACCTTCTCAACGGTCTCAGCTCTAAATTTGATAACATTATCAATGTTATCAAACATCGATCACCCCCCTGCACTTTTGGAACCGCCAGATCGATGCTTATCGATGAAGAATCCAGGCTTAAAACCAAACGACAATCTACTCCCAACAATGACGATAGCGCCTCCTCCCATCAACTTCTCATTGCCGCAACTCCTCATCAACAGTCAAATCCACCTGATTTCTCCAATTCCCGTGGTTACAACAACAACAACAACAATAACTACAAAGGAGGCAATCGCAACAACAAAGGAAATCGAGGTCGTCAGGGTCGAGGACGCAACAATTACAATCCAACTTGGAATCCTCGCCAACCTTCTCAGCCTCCATGGTATTGGCAGCAACAACAACAGCCCATCTGGCAACAACAAAATTCTTCACCGCAACAATTTCATCCTCAATACTCTTCTGCTCAACCTGGTATTCTTGGATCTATGCCTCAGCAACAACGTGGTGCTGTCTATCTCACTCAGACTACTCAGCCACAAATGCAAGGAGCAATGAATCAAGAGTTCATACCAACTGCCCTCGCAAGTGCATTCAACAAATGACATTGCAGGACCCCGCTGATTCTGGATGGTACATGGATACTGGTGCCACTGCACACCTCACGTCACACCCAGGTATGATTTCTCTATCTTCCCCTTCATCCTCCGTCTCTTCTCTTCCCTTAGTCACGGTGGGTAATGGGTCCAATTTACCTGCCACAGCAATGGGAAAATCTACAATTTCAACATCTTCTCGGCCTTTACATCTTCAAAACGTCCTTCTTTGCCCTGGAATTTTAAAAAATCTTGTTTCTGTCCGTCAGTTTACTAAAGATAATTTTTGCTCTGTTGAATTTGACCCTTTCGGTTTTCTTATTAAGGACCTTCAAACTCGAGCTCCTCTACTCCGATGTGATAGTGATGGCCCTCTCTACTCCGTCACTCAAACCACATCTCCTTTCCCTCAAGCTTTTGTTTCAACATCTCCTTCCGCTTCAGTTTGGCATCGACGACTCGGTCATCCCGGGAACTCGACGCTTCGTTTTTTAGTGTCTTCTGGATTTCTTAAATGTTCAAAACTGGATACGTCTCCCTTGTGCCACCCGTGTCAGCTAGGGAAGCATATTCGGCAACCGTTTTTATCTTCTTCATCGCAAGTTTTTTCTGCTTTCGATATTGTACACTCTGATATTTGGACATCTCCAATTCCAAGTGTCAGTGGAATACGATATTACGTTATTTTCTTAGATCAATACAGCCACTTTCTTTGGGTTTATCCTTTACGTCAAAAGAGTGAAGTTTTCAATAAATTTCTACATTTTTTTCGCTATGTTCAAACACAATTTCACAAAACAATTAAAGCTTTTCATTGTGATAATGGTGGTGAATACACCAGTCGTGAATTTCAAAATTTTATCTCCTCCAATGGCATCCAATCTCGATTCTCTTGCCCTCATACCTCCCAGCAAAATGGTCGTGCTGAACGTACTCTTCGAACTCTCAACAATCTTATTCGTGTTCTTCTTCTTCAAGCCCATATGCCTCCTTCTTATTGGGTCGAAGCTCTCCATATGGCAGCTCACCTTTTCAACATTCTTCCTTCTTTCTCAATAAACAATGAAATCCCCTTTACTCGTCTCTTTCAAAAAGCCGTCTCCTATGATCACCTTCGAATTTTTGGATGCCTTTGTTATCCAAATCTTCTCCCAACTTCTATCCATAAACTTGCTCCTCGCTCTTCTAAATGTGTTTTTCTGGGTTATCCCTCTAATCATCGGGGCTATCGATGCTTAGATATTGCCACAAAACAAATAATATTGTCTCGTCATGTCATTTTTGATGAAAACTCATTCCCCTTTCAAAACTCTGCTTCTGAAACTAATCCATCGACACCAACTTCCCCACACTCTTATCATCCCCTTCTCCAATCTCTTCCTGCTACGAATTTTTCTACACCACGAGCTCCACCCTCTGTTTTGCCATCACCACAAGCTCCACAAGCACCACCGCCAGCTCCGCCAGCTCCGCCGGCACCGTCGACGGTCCTGCGAGTGATGTAATAACGCAAGCTCCACCTTCTCTTCCTCCTTCTCACGGGATGCAAACACGGAGCCGTAGTGGAATTACTAAAAAGAAGCAGATTTTCTCCCTTCATACAGATACAATTTCTCCTCTCCCTATATCTCATATCCAAGCTTTAAAAGACAAGTATTGGAACGATGCAATGCATGTTGAATATGATGCTCTTAAAAAGAGTGGCACGTTTATAATTGTCCCACGGCCCTTAAACACTAACGTTGTGCGTTCTATGTGGCTCTTTAGACATAAATTTGATGCAGGTGGACGACTTTCTCGATACAAAGCTCGCCTTGTCGCAAATGGAAAATCTCAACAAATTGGCATCGATTGCGATGAAACTTTCAGCCCTGTCGTCAAACCCGCGACAATACGCACCGTTCTCCATCTCGCTGTTTCTCTTAATTGGCCTTTGCGTCAACTCGACGTTAAAAACGCATTCTTATACGGAGACCTTGACGAAACAGTGTATATGCATCAACCCCCAGGATTTGTTGATCCCACCCAGCCTACGCATGTATGTCTTCTCAAAAACTCTCTCTACGGACTTAAACAAGCGCCTCGCGCTTGGTATCAACGTTTCGCCACCTTCGCCACCAAAATCGGCTTCAAACAAAGCAAATGCGATGCATCACTGTTTGTTTTATGTCGCGGGAAAGATTTGGCATATCTTCTTCTCTACGTAGATGATATTGGACTCACGGCATCCTCCACTTCACTATTACGGTCGATCATAACATCCCTTAACTCTGAATTTTCTATGACTGATTTAGGCGAACTTCACTATTTTTTGGGCATTGCTATTAACAGGGACAAAAATGGGATGTTCTTAAGTCAACAAAATTATGCTGCAGACATCATACATCGTGCAGGAATGACGTACTGCAACACTTGCTCCACCCCAGTTGATACATCCTCCAAACTTGCTGCTGATGCTGGACCACCAGTCGCCGACCCAACTCTCTATCGCAGCCTTGCTGGTGCCCTCCAATACCTTACGTTCACGCGTCCGGACATAGCATATGCCGTCCAACAAGTTTGCCTTCACATGCATGACCCACGAGAGCCACATCTCAATGCTCTCAAACGGATAATACGCTACATTAAAGGCACCATCACACACGGTCTTCAGTTGAAACCAACCACTATCTCTAAGATCACAGCTTATACCGATGCTGATTGGGCAGG